TCCATGACACTGTCGGCAACGACGTCATGGAGGACATTGTGGATGACCATGTTCATCCTAGCCGCGATTGCGTTGTGAACTTGATGAAGATTCTCGGCCATCATGGACATTATTTCCACGGCGGACACTCGCACACAATCCAGTGCAACAATCCTTCGCCTAGCCACAGTCCCACTCGGACAATACGACTGCGCTAGACGAACCAGTCCAACCAACCTTCCGCGCCTTACGAAGCGCATGACAATGTCAACAGCTTGAATGTGCAGGCTGCGTTCATTCACGAACATTGGCGACTTGTTGCAAAACATTGGCGATTTGGTGGTGGGTACTGTATGTCGTCTGGGGCGACCCGTCGTGGCCCGTGGAAATTGCCGTGATTGTAGCGTATACCACGATGGGCAACTGCAAAACCACGTGGCGTGTGCTCATGAGGGCACTACGGATGAAATGGACTCGGCCCAAGTGGAGAGGGTGCTCCCGATACAGTCGTATGTCTTGCGGATTTGGTCGATCGGGTCGGATTCGTGTACGTTGACTGTGCACATCGTGCCAGTTAACTCCTCCGTGGACCCAACCAGCAATGAACAGCACCGTCATGAGCATCATGCAACTAGAGACGTGATGTGCTGTGGCTTCGTGCTGCGGCAAGTTCAAGCCATGCAACTACCGTGTGCGTTCAAATACTTTAAAGTCGAAGACAACGATTATGGCTGCGACGGCACAACAGCGTGTCGAGGAGTTTTTCTTGCTGCCAAAAGTGCAGTGGGATGGGTGTAATGCACATGACAAAGAGTGTTTAACGTTACTGTATGATGTTGATACTGTCAGGACACAACTACCGGTAGAGCACTGTATCAACGTAAGTGCCGTGTTTTGCGTTCCCATCGATGGTCCCGTGAACGCGTTACATGTAGACACGAGGGGCGGTTGTGCAAGATCTTTGCCACAAAACGACATGGATGTCGTCGATATGTATAGTGTTGAATGACTTGCCTCGACCACTTCATGTCGGTTGAACAAGGTCAAGTCTGAAAGTGGTGCTCAGTTTCGATGAAAGGTGCACTGCGTGGTCTGTAGCCTCCTTTCGTTCTCTTGATGCATTTCCTAGGCAGCAATGTGCCCGTCGTGTGAGAAAGTTCTACGTCTTGCTGCGTTAGAGCTCGTGCATTGCTGCCATGTCTTTGAGATTGAATCCAGGTGTAATGTACTGGTATGCCACTTACTCCCGTGGCTCAACGCTCCCAAGCAACATTAACTTCCCGTTGCCGTACTAGTATTGCCCTCATTACATCATAATTCAACCTTACAGCCACCATCTTCTATTCGTGTGAGGACCCCTATGACTATTAGTGCATCCTCGACGATGAAACGAGAGTCCCTCCCCAAGTACAAAGGAAGTCACTCCGCATGACGACGCCGACAGCATCTACCTGCATCGCCATAACTAGCATCGACACCGTGTACTTCGTGACGAAGCACAATGCATTCGGGTCGTTGGCTCCTTCGCTGGCAATGCCATGCATCAGAGTTGTGTGCAAATTTACATCCCACGGATACCATTATCCGGACAATCGCATTTTCGAGATTTCACAACACGACGCCGCGTATGAACATCTGCCGCTCCATGGTCCTATTGGGCCTCCTTTCTTGTGCCTGTTTCTTCTTTGATTCCATGGCGACAGCAGTCAACATACCCAAGCGCAAGACGGTGGACGTGTGGGTGTACGACGATGCGACAAATCCGTGGGACGGCAAGGTCGTGGAGGTGGCCGCCGATGCACAAGAGTCCTTGGACGCCATCCAAGACTTTCTCATCACGTCCACGCACCGTATTCGCGACAATGACAATATGGACCTCGCTTCACTCGCGTCCATCCGAGACTGCCTTGTACGAACACTTTTACACATTGGTGGAGTTGGCGAAGGACGCGCACCACGCGTCAACGTCCGCGACGGCCGATCGAATCTTCGAGCTGAACGCGAGCATGCAAGAACTCTTGACCCTCGTGTCCTTGCAGCGTAAAGCCACAGGCGGTGGTGCCACCACTACCGATCCGTATGCCCTATCGGACGCGTTTCTGGACATGTACGACGAGCTCGTCGACGCGGGATACTCCTCTTCGGCATTTGACACATGGATTCAACTCGCAGCATCCGAGGCATCCCCTGGCGCCGCGTATGAAGCCATTGCGTCGTACATGTTGTTCCAGCCCCAAGTCCCGACCTCGTTGTTTCCATTGGACCTGTCGGCGGCGCTGAACATGTTGGATCGCGCCGGGACTGCCTCCGCCACCGTCCTCCGCACCATCATCCGTCTCGCCGTCTTCCAGAACGAGACATCCTCCACAGCGGACTCGTTGCTTCGAACCCACGCCGCGACCAACTTTCTCGCGCGAACGGTGCTGGCTGCCAGGCTCGAGGCGAATACGACCAACGGCCTTGCGACTGATAGTGATCCTTGTGAGGAAGCTGCCGCGTATTACTACACTAGTGCTGAGGACAGCGTACACGACATGGTTGACGCTGGCGGGGAAAAAGGTACTAGGACACGACTGGCTCCGATCAGATGACACGAAACATGATCGCGAGTTATTGTATTCCAACTTCAAATTGGTTTTACCTAATTGTGCTTTCGAGTGAAATTTCATTGTGTTGTGGTGTTGGGATTGAAATCGATTTGATTGGCTACTTCAGAAGAACTCAAAATTATTAGCCAATCAAAACCTTTTCAATGCAATTCAACCAATCAGATCGATTGTGGATCGGTTTGGTCGGCGCGATTCGATTGCACCCCGTCCCCAAATTTGTATCAAATCGACAATATGTTGATTATTTTCGGCATTTCGTCGTCTACTACTTTGAAGTACACTCACTGTATGGCTCAACCAGGTCTTGACTTGGATATATATATATATTAACACAAGTATTTTAGAGATGTACGAACCCATGGTGCGGCTTTCGGAAACGTGGATGGGGATGCATGCAGAAGACATGCTCGACGTACCAGCAAACGGCATGGACGCTTTGGATTATGTGCGATCGCTGGCCTTGGGGTACGTACATTTCTAACACCCTAATATGTGGGTGGGTGGATATAGATTTGTGCTAGTACTATATATATATCTTTAGTATATACCAGGCTTTGCCGAATCCGTACATTGGATTGGCCGAATGCGCCAGAACGTGATTTGATTGGCTTAGGTGGTTCTTTAGTTTACTCGCTTGAGACGTTCGATTCAGGTGAATCGATTTGACAATTATATATTTGTGTCAAATTCTCCTTTGGATATATATATATGGTTCAAAATCCAAAGTTCGAGGGGTTTCTTTTTTGACAGGAATGTGTAGAGGCAACCCCGAAGCCGTGCATCGACTGGGAGAAATGCACTTCTTCGGCGACGCCCAAGCCGGCCTGCCCGCGAACCCCGCCGAGGCTCTGCGACACTTTGAAGAGGCGGCCGCGAACGGTGTCGCACACTCGCTGGCTAACCTTGGACTCATGTACGCGAATGGGATGGGCGTGGAAGCCAACCCCGAACGCGCGGTGCAGTACTTTCAACAAGCGGCCGACCAAGGGAATGCATTTGCAGTGAATGGCCTGGGCTACATGTATGTACTTCTATACTACTTCAACTATACTTACCAATATATATGTGGTGGGGTAGGTATTGGACAGGCCAAGGTGTGACAAAAAATACCACGAAAGCAGTAGCGTACTTTCAAAATGCGGCCGATTTGGGCTTCCCAGATGCGCATCAGTATTTGGGTGCTGCCTACTTGGATGTACGACGATGTTAAATATATATATATACATATATATATATAGTTTTATGTCGAAACGGATTTGTATACATTTGGAATTAGTTGTATGTATACATGTGCGAACAAATAAGCTAACACCGTTGAGTTGTCGTGATGGCGATTAGTAGATTAATTCGAGGATTTGTACGAGTTTACAGATATATATATATATATATGTACCTGGAATCGGTGTATACATTTATGTGAACGAAAGAGAGAGAGAGTTCCAGTTTGACATTTCATGATGGTAACTAAGGGTACATTATATTCCAAGGCTACTGCGTAAGAATTATTGCGAGTACATTGAGCCAAACTTTGGATTTTATTTATTTTTTCCCCTGAATTTTGTACGTAAACTGTGTGAACGCCCATAACACTATTTGAAGTCACACACTAATTCGAAGCTTGCAAGATTGATGGTTGGCCCCTTGCTTAGCGTTCTGGGTTTGGATTGGTCGGTCGATATGTTGAGTGTGTGTCTGCTCATGCCCCACTCCCCCTTCGAATCGAATGTCCAATATATATATATATATATATATATACGGAATCGATTGCATCATATATATATATGCCAGTGCAATCCTTTGGTTTTTTGGTTGACGACTCACCATACCGTCGTGTGAATCCTACTCCAGGGCACCGGAGTCAACCAGAACAATTCGCTGGCATTTTACCATTTTTCGATCGCTGCCAACGAAAGCGATTCACGCCAGGCGTATTTCAACCTCGGGATCATGCACTACAAGGGATTGGGGACCCCTCGGTCGTGTCCACTGGCAGTTCAAGCGTTTCGACAAGTGGCGTGGCGCGCCGGACACTTTGACGACGCGCTGCTGTCCCCAGAACTGGGCCACGAAGCCTACACTCGCCGCGACTACCCCCGGGCGCTGCTGCATTACTCGATCTGGGCACTCGTGGGGGTCCCGCAGGCCGCGTGCAATGCCGGATTCCTCCTCGATCATGTCCACACTCAGCCATTTGACACGACCCCGTCGCTGCAGCTCGCGAAATCGCTCTATGAATCGGCCAAGGCGGACCCGGAAGCCCTGCGAAAGCTGGGTCATTGCCACCGAGATGGATGGGCACACGCGTGCACGACCAATGCCACCGCAGCGCTCGAGTACGTACACACTGATGCTTATGGGGGTTGTGCGTTGTGTTTTCATCGATCGAGGACAATGATACACATATACTAGTATAGGGATGGATATTGATTGGTGCATAGAGATTGTGTTACTGATGACCTATTACAATGGGGATGGGGGTGGTAAAGGATGGATGGAGATTGAATACATTGACTCGAACGGGGGAAATATCTTATATTTGAAACATAATGGGATTTATAGGATGCGATTGTTTGCTGAAGGTTTTATTGTCCTTGTTCCGATTTCCGGATAGAAGAATTTTGGGGCAAACCCAAATTCATTTCGTTCTGGAAATATCAATTTATAGAGGCTTTGATGTATAAATTTGCATATATTTTGGTTTGTGCACCAGACTTACAAAGATTGATTTTTCGACTTCGCATCGTACAATTTTATGGAGGGTTATATTTTATTATTATTTCAAAAGAAAAAGTATGTTTGCGAGATTTTTGGCAGTCATCGATTGACCGATGTACGTTTTGGTTGGGCCAATCGCATGGACCAAACTATGATGATAAAGTAGTTGATGGGTTCAAATATGTTTCAAAGTGTAATGTGATTATTGTCAAATCCGATTACTCATTCGATGGGGAAGTCGACATTGGAGCGGATTTGACAATACAAGGATTTATACATGGGGGGTATCCTAGGTATTACGCCCAAGCAGGAACCCTCCACGACAGCGAAGCGTTGTACAGCGCGGGCATGCTGTACACAACGAGAGGCGACTGGGACAAAGCGCATCAAGCGTGGAACGTATGCAGGAGCCATGAGTTCCCGACCAACATCCCGTGCATTCTACCGGCCCTGGCCTTGGACATGTGGACAGGATTGGCGTGGATGTGGACTTCGCTGCACGACGCTATCGTCGTGTACTCAATTTAAACAAACTTACAACCAAAATATGTACTCAATCTCGCGATCGATGGCCGACTTTCGTTCACGAATTGTTGGCCTTGAGCAGATATGTAGCCGACATTTACATGCTGAAACTGGTGGTTGGAGGTATAGTACATAAACTCGGACGAGTGTAAGAAAGAACCACCCGATAGAATCCAAGAGCCCTGGATTCTTGTGATGATGAAGGAACCACCGCATCCTTTGACTTTACTAGTACTACTATGGTTCGAATATGTCATGCCAAGTATATGACAAATTTAGCATGGCACGCCACCCGTTAGGGAGTTTGCAGCCCGATGACAACGTCATTCTTGCGTGGTCAAGTGTTGAGTGGACCCCCACAACACGACGCGCCAGCTACGAATGATGTGAAGTGTCCAAAATGTCCTGTTCAAACAGTACCTTGGCGAGTTGTCGGTGGCTTGGATGATGCAAATGCAGGCGTTGGGGGTCCGCTCATCGTCCCGACTTCGATCCACGGCCATGGCGTGAATCCATCGGAACGAGTGGAACAGAAAGCCCCCGTGGGTGACCACGACCAGTCGCTGTCCGCCATGTTGCTGTTGCAGGGACTTCAACGTCGTTTGGACACGCGCGGCCATCTCCGCCGACGACTCGCCGCCATGTCCGTTGAATTCTACGCACATATTTTATACACGTGAAAATGCACTGATCGGTTGTTGCGTTGCCTGCATCTGTTCGCAGTAACTCGTAGTCGTGGTGCTGCGACGGAGACATTTCGCGACTGGTGAATCCTTGGAGGCGGCCGAGGTTATGCTCCCGAAGGCCAGCATTCAACCGTAGCGGAAGGCACAAGGCAGATGCAATAGCTCCTGCTGTGGAGTATGCACGTGAGAGGTCGCTGGAGAAACACAATTGGTGAGTAGGCCGGATACCAAATGCATGGCGTGACGCACCTGGTTACAACAGCGTCGAATGGCGTGGTGCGATGGATGTCCATGAGATACGAGGCGGCGGCGGCAGCTTGACTTAGGCCTGTGGCGTTGAGAGGAATGTCTTGGTGGCCTTGAAGGCGGTGCTCGATGTTCCAGTCGGTCTGGCCATGGCGAACAAACCAAATCTCAACCATTCGTACAGTATTTCCACCAGGGGTGTATGTGGACTACAGATAGAATGGAATGTTTGCCGACTGGTCGACAAATAGGCAAAATGCCCCACGGAAACTTCCTTCACCACATGTATCGTAAGTCGACAACCTGATCAACTTGCCAGCTGAAAAGGAGATTAATTATTGACAGTGAGTTTGGTATTGTGCTTTCAGGCAAAATTTGGTATTTTCGGTAGATTCGGCGAACGACGTCAAATCTACCTGAAATCGTCTAGACGTCGTTTTACTCGAACTTAATATACTCACAGTGAACCCTGTCAGATACGTCAAAGAAAAAGGTTGAACTCTGAGAAGCTTGGCCATCCACCGGACACACCTGTAATTTGATTGGTCGAAAGGTTTTTCTTCGAACATTTCATTGGCTACTTCGGTCCGTCGATTTTGCTTCGTCGATTCGATTCGCAGCCCCAGTCGATTTTGAAATCGAATTACCAATACTGTACCTCGTGCTAAATATGAGAGACCTGTAGCATATTTGTATATTGGGAGACTGCCAAAACCTCCGCATATTATTTTGCTACCGCACCCAAATGAGACATTTCTCGATTTATAATACCGGTTGCATATTGCGGAGAGGTCAAAACCGTCTCACCAATTTGCTACGGGTCGCTCGCATTTATGTTGCATAATCTAATGCAACAATTTTACTTTGTTTTGCAGTTTTGTTTGTCGACTGAAGCTCGTTGGATGCAAGATTGTCGCTTCTTCAAATGCGCGAAGCAGCTTGTCATCATGATTAAAAATGAGGGCTTATCCGGATGAAAAAAAATCGCAAAGGGTGTATCCGGGTGTCCGCAAAATGCTACCGGTATGATTATTCGAAAGATGTTTTCATTTGCGAACGATAGCAAAATTAATTGCGGAGGTTTTGGTAGTCCTCCAATTGGGAGACTGCCAAAACCCTCGCAAAAATCCCTTTCGTAGTATTGCGCATCCGGATAACGCCTCATTATTTATCACATATACACCCACATGTTATAAGTATCAAGAAGCATGTTCCAAACCGGTGTAAGTTACTATTAATAAGCTTACAGTTAGTACAGGTCCAATCGGAGATCCCATTAATTGACCGCTCCTACGACGACCTAACCCCTTTGCACCCATTTTGGGCTGTTTTCATTGGCTATAATTCATTTTTCTCAGATTTTGAGAGCGATACAAACTCGAAGTTAAGGTACTTGGTCGTTGAACAGGCCTCGTCTGGGAGCGGCACGGCCTACGGCCTACCTGCCGCTTTTCCCGACGAGAGGAAAAGATAGGAAGTCCCCGTGGGGCACGATGGCGTCGCGCCACAGCGCTTGCTTTGGTGCGAGTCGCTCTACACTCTATCTACGTTACGCTACGTATAAGTCTATCTACGCTACGCTTTAGAAGTCCTGGTTAGTGGGGAAAAAGTGGGCAAAAAGCTGGGGTTGAACTGGTGACCTCTCGGACCCCATGTTCAAACCGCTAGACCACAGTGGCTGGTTCTTTTGGGATTGCTGTTAACTTAGTGTATACAAAAAGAATCTGAGCACAATGAATTATATCCAATGAGCAGCGACCACACCCATTTCTACAGGGTTAGGTCGTCGTAGGAGCGGTCAATTAATGAGCTCTTATCATAGGTACTGCGGTACATATGATAGTACTCCTGAGGGACAAGGCCAACTTTGCACGAATAGTGTAATTTTAATTACACTATTCTATACATTGATCGTATTAAAATACGATCAATGTATGATTATTAGTAGTGTTATTTACAGGGTCAACAACACGACGGGTCGGGGCACGGCAACATTAGTGCCGGTGGGAACGAGGGTGCCGTTCTTGAGCAGGCGGAAGCTCACAAGGTCGCTCGTGAGTTGGTTGCCCACGTACACGATGTTGTCGTCGCTGATTGTAAAGTCGCGAGGGAACGCGCCAGCGCGGAGGGGGCCCGTGGACACGCGCTCCAACGTAGCAGCGTCGAAGACCACGATGTTGTTTTCGTTCGCGCCGAGGCCGCGGTTGGACACGAGCACGAACTTGCCGTCTTTCGTGACATGCACGGCTGCCGAGTACTGATCACCAGTCAGTGCCGACGTCTTCACGACTGCCTTCTTGACCAGCTGGCCGTCCGGTTGCACTTCGTGGCGGACCAACTCGTTCGTGAACTCGGTGGTCAAGAAGATGTCGCGGCTGTTCGGGTGCACGGCCAAGTGGCGGGGGAGCGTGCCCGGGCCAGTGGCCACGAAACCGTTGGCGGTGAGCTTGCCCTTGTTGAGCTTGAACTGCATGACCTTGTCGTTGCCCAAGTCCGTCACGTACAAGTACGAGTTGCACTTGCTCAGGGCCACGCAGTGAGCATGGGGGCCTTCTTGGCGCCCGGGAACGACGCCCGCGCCGCCCGTGAACTGCACCTTGTCCACGATCTCGCCAACGGTGCCGTTCTGATTGAGCTTGAACACAACCACCGACCCGTCGTCATAGCTCGCGACGATAGCGTATTTGTTGTCGTTGGTGAGCACCAAGTGCACGGGGCCCTTGGTGTTGGTGGCGGTCGCGCCGAGAAAGTCGAGGGACAGCGTGTCCTCGTTGCTGGTCTCCTCTTTGTCGTCATCTTCGTCGTCGCTGTCATCTTCGCAGTTGTCATCGTCGTCGTGGTTGTTGCGACGCACACGAAACGCAGTGAGCGTGCCCTTTTCGACTTCGTTGGTCACGTACAAGAACTTGTGGCCCTTGGACAAGGCAAAATACGTCGGCTGGTTGCCCGTGGTGGCATTGGTTTCTTGGCCAATCTTGGTCAATCCACCCTTGGCGTTGGTGCGGTAAATGGAAATGCCCACGGGGTCGTTGGTGGTCGCGGCGCCGGTTTGAGACCCCACGAGAAGGAAGCGGCTGGAGGCAGTGCCGACGAGGGCGGCCAAGGCGAAGAGGGCAGTTGTAAGACGCATGGTAGTGGTCGTTCAAGGAAATTCCAAACTGACGCTGTGGTCGTCCAGTGTGAACTTGAAGCGGGCGACGAAAGGGTGTACGATTGCAACTTCAATTCTGACTCGCCGGCACACTGCATTACCAATTCATGAACATCTCACAAGCTTATTTCCGCTCACATATATCTCAACGGTCAGGTGACTTTCACATGTCAGTTCAAATACTTGAAGTGCACTGTGACATAATCCGCTTGGTGACATATTGAGAATTGTGTGACTGATTACTCTGAACTATTAGTAGTTCATGAAGTATTAACAGAATTCTCACATTAACACATCATTATTAGGGAGAGTCAATATAGAAATCATCTTGCTTTTCAAAAAAGAATCTGCTTTTCAAATTTTGCTTTTCAACACGAAAAGCAAAAGTACATCGCGAGGTACTTTTCGTGGCGAAAAGCAAAAGCAAGTGAACCTGTGAACAAGCCAATCAAATAATTAATAGAAACAACCAATCAGGACAGTGGAAAAAGTCAGTTTTCAGAAGCGAGCATAGAGAAGGCGAAGCGAGAAGCACTGATTAAAACACTGCATTTTGAGTGTTTACATCTTTGTACACTCGGACCACCCACCGCTTACAACTCCGGGATTACTACTACTCAGCATCGTATGTACTCATCGGGGTAGGCTACGGGCGGAAAAGTGTATCCGGATGACATAATTTCCTCATGGGTCAAAACAATAGTGGAAGTGTTTTACCGTACAGTAATGTAAAAACACGGTAATGAGGGAATGATTCAGTTCTGCAGCTTGGATGATCTCATTTTAATAAGATCAATGAGAATTCCCGATCCAAACCAGTTTGATGTATTAATACTTCGGAGTACTACGTAGTAGTAAATTTAGAGGTGCAATGGTGATGCCAACATAGCTAAGATGCGTAGAGGTATTACGATGGATAATCTACGGCTGACATGAAACGACACTTTTGCAAGTGTTGGATGAATGCGCCACAGTAAAATTACAGCAAGCGCAAAGAAGGCGATGGAAACCATTGCGACGTGAGTTCACAAATGCAGTGGGGCTTCTGTGCAGTACAGTGCTACATTTCTACATTCTACCGCGACGTTGAGCTAACAGCATGCAAGAAGCACGATGAACTGAGGGCCACTGTCGGTCTGAGCGCAACAGGTCCATTGTTGCTTACGTAATCCTTTCGCTTGTTCTTATTAGTAGTACTCCCTCCGTGTCACTATAAGTGCGCGACTCAGAAAAATAAAGTATACCTCCTCGTATAAAAATACAAAACACTCCAAGATCCTATAATGATAATGCATTTATAAAGGTGTAACGATACAACTGTCCAATCATAACAATCAAAATGCATGTCTCAGGACCAATCACGCGTCGAACCGTGGCCGGGTGGCAGTTGTACTTGGCTGCGAGTGTTTGACTGAGGCCATTGGGAAGCCTGACCAAGTAGCTGCTGTTGCTGTGCAGGAGCACTTCACGGAGTATGGCCTCGCGCTCGCTGTTCGTCAGGTTGCGCTATTTGACGGTCACTCCTGAATGTTTGTCATTCTGAGTGTTTGTTTTATATAAAGTATTTTATTGATGTATTGAAATCATCACAGCGACTTCATTTCGCTGAATTTCCCGCTCGAAGTTGGACCAAATCGGGGGTTTTGACAGTGGCTTTCGAATGGTCCAATCAGAGCGACTAATTTTGAACCCAAGAGAGCGATTTCGATTGTCAAAAATGTCTTGAGAATATAATGAGAAGTCATGTCAACCCTCCTCTAGGTCGCGCACTTATAGTGAGTGACACGGAGGGAGTATGTTATACTCAAGTCAGTGTAAACCAAAACCACACATTCCAGTTAATAGAGTGATTTAGCACCAAGAATCCACACGAATTTTCCAATACAATTTCCCTGAAAATCCTCCGGGGAATATCATGTTGGGAAGGTGCTTTTGCTATAGGAAAAATTCACATTTAAGCAGAACTACCGCTGTGTTCGTTGTTGCGACTCTACAGGAGCACCTACAGGTAGGACACGCCTCCATTTTTACGCATATCAACAACCCAGTGCAGTAGGTGCAATGTGTGCAGTTTGTGACCTTGCACCATTCCTATAGGCTGTAGTGTGCATCGTGCCGACGTACAAGCAGGACCGCTTTGAGGTGGTCGATGAACACAGGGATAGGATGTATGGCATCTCAGAAAGTAGGCCAAGCTGGCCGGGAATTACATGAATCACTTTACCAATTCGCTTCATGGATGAATGGCATGCACCAAACGTAGATGAGTGGTAGGTAGGACGTGCTACAGTAGATGAGCGAGGATATAGGTAGGACGTGCTACAGTAGATGAGCGAGGATATCGTAGGCGAGCGGTGGGATACAGTAGTGCCGAACGTAAACAAGACAACAGATAACTCGTCACCCATTCATCCGATGAGGCTACATGCATTTTGAAGATCGTGACGAGCTTTATAACTTTATGCAGGTTCCATCATTTGTATCGCATAGCCAATTTGCTCGTCGAATTTCTAAAATTGAAATTTCCCTTATGTGAATTTAATTCACTTGAATAATGTATGCATGATTTGGGACGGGTTCCTTTATTCCAAATTGCTTTTATAATATAGTTTCTTAAAGAGGAGAATTAATTCAGGTCATACTTAAAATCATGTCGAAAATAGTATTGGTGTTGATGGAAAATGAACTAAAAGTGTGAAAATATCCATAGGCTGAAAACAGTTCCGAGCCACTTGATTTTATCCAGTTATCTCTCCAAACGAAATGAGAAATTGCCCGTGATTGGTTGAAAAGTTAAGAGTGATTGTTTTCTACCAATCACGTATCGTGGCACGGAACTAAGTTGTCACGGAACTCATACGAAACAGTGTATACTAGTATCCGTTTCAATTGAAAATTTGTATGGTAGGTTAGAAATAGAATTGGGTACCTGTATAATCAAGAGTATTTGAAAATGAATACCCTTCAAAATATCCTGACCTAAAAGAAAGAATGAGTGTCAATATCCACCCACCAATATGATAACCTTGCTATAATTATTCAAAATTGAATATTAACTTATAGAGGTTTTCCTGTGAGCAGTCATGGAGGTCCTACTGTATCTATTTCGGTAGGTCCACTTTTGAGTTTAGATAGCACAAAATACTCTATAAATTTATAAACCTCTAAAATCACGTTCTTCGAATTGTGTGAATCTCAAACCTCTACAGTAACGTTATCTCCCAAACTTTGCTGAAGTACTTAGATACTGCTTATAGTTTGACCAAAGAACAATGTAGTCTCAAAGGTTTTTTGCTGCAGTATACAATTTTCTCTATAATACAAAAAAACGCGTAGCAGAAAGAAAAAAATTGACCAAAAACGTGTTCTTGGACAAAGATATAAATTTCGATTGAAGTACTGTCCGTTTGGGCGAGTCGAATGCAAAGAAATTTTCCACTGGTCCGATTTTAACGTAGTTTTTTTTAATCTCTTCGTCTTCGATAATATATTTTGTTTTTGCTTGCAGAAGCTTGAAGGCCCAACTACAAAACTGTGCTCTGCGTTTGCAAGCAACGATTCCAGCGATGAAATGTAGTATTTTAATGAAGTAGACTATTTAAATAGTTATTTTTGCTCATATACTTTTAATAATTTGTACCTCTGATATAGTAATACTATAGATTATTTAACTTTTATTTTATTTTAAGACTCAAGTATAGTATACTTCGATGTAACTGTTTTAAAAATGCGTTTGCATTAAGTACGTTCCATTAGGTGCTGAAACTTCATTTCAAACCTGGTGAAGTTGTATTCATTTCCAGGCAATATAAAACCCCTCACGGACTGCACGTTAAACTCCTGAATTCAAATATACCTTTGGATCGAGGAAATACCTCCTAGGGTAAAAGTTATGGGAGAAACCATTCTTGCGTTCCTTCCGCCCAAACGGACAGTATAATGGAATACAATTGAGTAGATAAATCGAGTTTCAATGCAGTTTTTACCTTTTGTATTGTATGTAAACATAGATCCACAATACAATGTGTCTGAGGAACATCAGCACAGAAGAACATTATCTTTTAGAGTGTTTCTCCATTTTGCCCAATCGCCGCAGGCCATAATTGATGTCAATGACAGCTCATCTTCCCTTCATCGATGGGTCTCAAGTGTCGTTGCCATCTCCCGATGGAAGTAAGATCGACAGTGTGCTCTCAGTTCTAATCAAGCGTATTCAGGCTCCAACTGAGTCGATAGACATCCAGCAGTTCACACTATTCCGTGCAATTGAGACCTTGATGCTACAGCATCACATCAATAACAGATAAGACCACATGAAAGAAGTCCATACATTAAAGTCTTCTCCATAACACGAAGACTACGTTACGATTCTAAAAGGTGAGATGCAAAGTCGCCAAGGCATGCAACAACTTCGACGTCGCCAGCTATGAGGGCTGCCACGACCTTCGTCGATAGCGTCACTGCGAGTTCAACCGACTTAATCGCATCCACCCGTCCATACAACATCATAACCGCCTCATGAGCCGTCACAATCTCCTCGTACTTGGTGTTGTCGATGTCTTGCATACGGACCCCGAGAAACTCTGCGATAGCATACAGCGCCTTGCCCAGGGTACAACACTTTGAGACTCGAACATGTGACGTTTGCGCCTTTTTGTCTTCGGTCGTAAACTGCACCACAGGTTTGAATAGGTGCTGTGTCGGTGATGGAAAATGATAATATCGTTGCAACATTTTCCAACTCGTCGCTTGTGGAAGCACAGACGATTGGATCGGCAACACAGGATCGTTGCAAGCGGATCCAACCATGACATGGGAGCTACAGGGTGGGTCTGAGGGTTGTTCGAGGTGAACTGGGAGGTTACTTGGGGGGGCAAAATGACCAAGCAGGCGTGCTTCCATGTCATTAATACGGGCCATGACACGAGCTTCCAACACTGGATCGTTGCTAGTAGGTCCAACCACGACGTTTGGGGTACTCGAAGGACCAAAGC